TAGGCAGTAAAGTGGCGTCAAAAGCGCAATGAGGCTCTGATAATTTAGTAGTGCGAAGATGCAAGTGGAAGATGACATGTAAATTTCGGGGTTTGGATGTATACGTTGACCGATTGGCTGACGTGCTCCTGCAAATACCTCTCACAATGTATTTCAGGGGATTTCTTCAGAGGGGTCCCCGCCATCTTTCAAGCTGTCCGTAATGTCCAATTTGCATTCCTGGCGCATTTCTAACCTTGACTTTGCTGCCTATCACTCTTTCTTTCCTTCTCATCATTAGCGGCATTATTCTTTCTTTTTTTTTTAGCAGCGTTGTCGGTCGTCAAATGGGATGGCGCACACGCGGCGGGAATCTGATGATTCGTCATTCTACGGCAAGCCGTACGACTCTGTCTTGCCCGACAATGTCTAACTATTCTTACTAGGTGACTGCCATACAATAGAGTATTTGAATCAGCGGGTTAACTCTTTTGACTCCGACCAGTGGATTATGCAACACCAAGAGCAGCCCGGCTGGGCGCAGCCATGCATGCTTCCAACTCACGCTGTCGCTGCGTTGCACAACCCTTACGCAGGAGTTCCATTTGCATGGCAGCTGACAGAAACGGTGGACAATTTCCTTGCTCGTTTGCCTCCAGCTATGACAGCCCAGATGCCCGAAACTCCATGGATATATATATGCAACCCTTACATTCCACGCGTCGCAAAGTCGGAAGGCTTAGGACAGACGAACAAAGGCAACGAAGACGACGGGCCAGAGCAAGAAGGCGCTAGATTAGATGTTGTTATCGAGGGTGGCATGGAGCGACTGGAGCTTTTAGACACCTTTTTGCGCGAAGTTCCGAATTTTGGTATACCGCCATCCACCACCGAGAGAGAGCAAAATAAAGAGCGATCACAAGCCACGCAGGACATTTTACACCTTGCACATATTGGGAAAGTCCGTGCAGGAAAGGTCAGAATCCTTTCGATGCCGCCGTATCTCTTCTGACTTTTGCATTGGTAGTGGATGATATTTTGCGATGTTTTGGACGTGAATGAGGTGTGGGAGCTTGTTGCTAAAGCTACAGCAAGCAATGAGCTTGGGATCGCAGCAAAAGTTGCCCCACGGCCAGAGCAAGGTGATCCGCGGAAAGAGCGCCTGATATGCGTGTGCACAAAAGATTTCATGGACAAAGTCGACATCGGGCGTGTTGTCCAAAGATTGAAAGAGCTCGGGCTGGCGGACGGCAAGTTGAAAAGGATATACTACAAGCCCGGTAAGTGGCAAACACTATCGTCTCTTACTTATCATGCTAAGTTTATCATAGATGTGTTTACATACTTGGGAATATCAGGCGGAAACCGATGGGGCTTGAAGGCGTCCATCTACAACTCATCGGAGGCATTTCCTCGCGCTCAAGATGTTGTGATGACGCTATGAGTCTTGAGACAGATTCACCAATATTTCAAGAATTGAGGTACCTATGTAATTCTGCAATACTGCAATATTGGACTGAAACAAAAGAAATAAAAGTACCAAACTCGAAACCCAGCCACGTACTCCGTTATCGATGCTTTGCCTGGTGTATCCAATGCTCAGAACCACGCTTATGAAGACAAGAAAATCATGAAAGAAACCCATAGCCGCTATTGATGAATCAAACAATTTGCTCCTGGAAGTTCTCAGCCAGTGTCTCATCTGGGTCCACGACCCTCAGAGGCAGCACCAGTCGATAAGCGCTGTTGCCATTGAGGTAGTAGCGATGAAGTTTTTTCGACCTCAAAAAGCCAAGCTGTTCGTAGAGCTTCATAGCTGGCACGTTTGTCTCCTCAGTCTCGAGCACAATTTCATCAGCGTTCCGTTTGGCCATGGCATCGATGGCCCGTTTGACGAGGGCAGTAGCCACACCATGTCCTCGGTACGCGGACATCACCGCAAGCATTGCGATGTAGCCACGCCGTGTAGGAGTTGAGCGGCAAGCATGAACCTCAAGTTTGCAGATAATGACGCCTATTAGGGAGCCATCTTTAGGATTGAGTGCCTTGCATAGGCATTAGCAACGCTCGCCGAAGTTGTCAGCAGCGAAGGGTCGCATAATACATACCATGAAGCATAAATGTGCCCACTGGCAAAGAAAGTACCGGTAGACATAGATGCTGTATGGCTCGCTCAGGTCTTTGGAGATGAGAGAACGGATAGCGGGAAGGTACTGAGCCTCGAACTTGTGTTCGTACTGCACATAACTGAGCTCGATAGGGAGCGTTCTAGGAAGCACCACTTCCATAATGTGTAATCGCGAGTTTCAACGCAAGGAAGCACTTGTGGGTTCAAAAGAGGTATTCAAGATATCGAGAGGCCAGGATGTGGCGTTGATAGAAGGTGGTGAGATTCCAGACTCGGCGGGGCAGCAAAGGCGGGGCACGGCCGAAGTTTGGTAGTAATAGTGAGGGGAAGACGGCCTGACAGTGGGCACAAACTGTTGGCTATTTGGCGTGTAGAGAAATGGGAGAAGGTGCAGAGAAGCAGAGAGAGTATATTATGAGTTTATTCCAGGATGCTTATATGGAAATACATGAAATATCGGATGCACTAGCCCGGTGACTCAGTTGCTGCCTGGCATACTGCGAAGCATTCCTAGTGGCGGGCATTGGCACCACCAGCCCGAATTGGGGCTTTGGCAGGCTTGGCTTATAAGGTCACATGGTGGGCTGCGCTGCACGGGAGCTGATGCCCAATGGAGTAGTCATCTAATACATGAATCAATCGACTATGCATAGGATTTGGAGTCGGAGATGCAGACCCCGGTCGGTGTGCCACGAAGAAGCCTCGGCGGTGCGGGGTGCAAGATTTGAGCTGATTGAACGGGCAGTGCATACAGACACGAAAAAAACACCGTATGTGAAGAATAGAAAGAGCGAGAGAGGAAATCTACCAAAATTCAAAAAGTGGCATCTTTGACAGCCATGCAGCAAGAGCCGCCGCGGAGGTGTAACCACTTGCCGCACGTAGGTAAGTTGGCAGGTTAGGTACCTTAGTCTACTTGAGTCTGCGACAAAGCTTTGGCTCCCTTTGACGTCAACCTGCTGCACCCTGGTCTAGCTCTCACATGCTCGCCGTGGGATCCGTGTTCCGTTTTCACGTCCTTTTTCTTTTTTTCAATTTGCAGCTCGAGAATTCACCATCTTCAGCAGCTGGGCTTTGCATTGTTTCGACAATACTGCGGACAGCTAATCGTTGCGACAAATAAATTGTTTTGCGCCAGCTGTCAAAACACCAAGCCGACCCTTGCGCCGCGCATCCACAGTGGCCTGGGCATTCGTGGCACAAAAACTAAACAATGTCCCCCAACATCCGGCGTCGTCATGTTCCCGAATCGCAATCAACTCCACCATCTACCAAACAAAGCGACAGCCATGATTCTTCCGCCCAAGATCACGAGCCGAACGGCCAGCCAGTAGTACAAATAGTGCAAAAGCCCAAGACGCGGAAGCGCCGCAACACCTTCATTTTCTTGCTCGGTGGCCTATGTGGTCTGGTAGCAGCAGGCTTCTTCGCCTCGAGCAATGACTTGATTGAATTCCCAGAGCTGCTGGGCGACCTCAGCATGGCGACCTTTGTCGACATCCTTCCAGCGGGCCTGATTAGCGATGTCAAGGATCTGATGCAGGGCGAGCGTGATATCGCGGAAGCCTACGACTCCTTCTATGTTGGTCTCAAGGCACGCGCCGAAGGCCTGCATGCGGATCATCCCATAGTCATGATACCCGGCGTCATATCGACTGGCTTGGAGTCATGGGGCACTGCCAATGTCTCCCGAAGCTACTTTCGCAAACGTCTCTGGGGCAGTTGGACCATGATGCGCGCTTTGGTAATGGACAAGGAGAATTGGAAACGGCATGTTATGCTAGATAAGAATACCGGCCTTGACCCACCTCTGATGAAGCTGCGCGCTGCTCAAGGATTTGATGCCACCGACTTTTTCATTACTGGCTACTGGATCTGGAACAAGATTTTCGAAAATCTTGCCACCATCGGGTACGACCCAACAAATTCTTACACGGCGGCATATGACTGGCGCCTGTCGTACCCCGATCTTGAGGTACGAGATCGTTACTTTTCCCGTCTCAAATCTCATATCGAAGGCGCTTTGGCAACGGACGGAAGAAAAGTTGTACTGGCTTCACACAGCATGGGTAGCCAGGTCATGTTCTACTTTTTCAATTGGGTGGAATCTGAGCATGGCGGACACGGCGGGAGTGACTGGGTTGAAAAGCACGTGGATTCTTGGATCAATATTAGCGGTTGCATGCTCGGTGCTGTCAAGGACCTTACCGCGGTCCTGTCTGGCGAGATGCGAGACACCGCACAGCTTAACGCCTTTGCCATTTATGGTCTCGAGAAATTCCTGAGCAAGGCCGAACGAGCTGAAATCTTCCGAGCCATGCCAGGTATCTCCTCCATGCTTCCAATCGGTGGCGAAGCAGTATGGGGTGGCAGGGATTGGGCACCGGATGATCTTCCTGGTCAAAATACGTCGTACGGTTCTTTCCTCAATTTTCGCGTTGATTCCAACAGCACCTCTCTGATGACAAACATGACTGTTGATGAGTCCATCGACTATTTGATGAGAGTCACCGAGAACTGGTATGCAGAAAAGATCTCGAAGAGCTATTCTCGGGGCATTGCACATACCACTGCCGAGGTCGAAAAGAACCAAAAGGACCCCAAGATGTGGCATAACCCGCTCGCATCAAGGCTTCCCAACGCCCCAAGCCTCAAAATCTTTTGCTTCTATGGGGTTGGAAAACCTACCGAGAGAGGCTACTATTACCGCGTTCCGGATATATCAGAAACTGTACTGAATATTACGATCGATACTGATTTTACAGGTGGGTCGGTAGACCACGGTGTAGTTATGGGAGAAGGCGACGGCACCGTAAATCTTCTGAGCACCGGTTACATGTGCAACCGAGGGTGGCACATGAAGCGCTATAACCCAGCTGGCTCACGTATCACGGTCGTTGAGATGCCGCACGAGCCCGAGAGGTTTAATCCTCGAGGTGGCCCGAAAACGGCAGATCACGTCGATATCCTTGGTCGTCAGAACCTCAACGAGCTGATATTGAGAATTTCGGCTGGCAAGGGAGATACTATTTCTGATTACATTGTAAGCGACATTATCCAGTATTCGGATAAGGTCAAGATTTACGAAGAGGGTGAGGAGCCGAAGGGTGCAGGTAGATAATAGGGTCTATCTCGGCGTTTCGGTGTACGTAGATTGGTAATTGGGGTAAGTGAATTGTTTGGCTGTATGAATATGTCCCAGCACACATTTCACAAAATGGTAGTATTATGTACATGAAAATTGTAAATCCAACAATTTTTTCTCAGGCCAATATGTAGCACTGACCCTAAAATCGCCAAAACACGTCTGCCTACCTACCTAGGTATCTCAGATCCAACGTCGCCTGGGGCATGGGTCACAGCATCCAAGGCGGGTTAACTTACCCCACATCCTAGCATCTCCTGCCAATGTTCTCGCATCATCTCTACTCTGCACCTTTATGCTCCGACAGCTTGGCGCATCCAGGCTAATTATATGTCTGTCTAATGCAGACTTTCTGATTTTATTGTATTTTTTTGTTCTCGTCTCCTTTCTCCAAGAGACTGCACGAAGCATCTATGATACTCGATGGTGTTGGCGCGGGCGTCCATCTGGACATAATGACACTGGCTGACGTTGAGGGGGGAGCTTTCTCCGAGGAGGAAGAACAACAACTGTGGACAGGTACGCAGCCGAAGCGCTCGGGGGATCTTCTGACGCAGTTTCTGACCCAAACATGTGCTTCCAGATATCGATACCTGCGTGTCGAGTCCATGCGATGACCACGAATCGATAGACGACGCCTTGCGAACGTGGCTGGGATTGACAGCACGGCTCCGTGATCGGCCCCCTGGAAGCCAGGAGGGCTGTGTGATGTGCGCAAATATGCTCATAAACAGCCAAATCTTCCAACGGAATCAGGAATACGTTCGCACGCAACTCATCCACAGTCTACTTCAAGAAGACAATGTCGCGTCCTTACATGCCATAACGTCGCTGCTGCTTCTCGACGGGCACTACGACGAGTCTGTATTTCCGCGCATGCTTCAGGAACAGTGCTTTCCGCGACTGGTGGAACTAATAGCGGCGAAGGAAGATGACGAGGACGCGCGCCTGCATCGTTTCTTGCTGCAGCTCATGTACGAGATGTCGCGTGTGGAAAGGCTTCGGCCAGCAGAGCTGGTATTGGTCGACGATGAATTTATACACAGCCTCTTTCGCATCATTGAGGGGGTTTCCAATGATGTACACGATCCATATCATTACCCTACGATAAGAGTTTTGGTACGTGCAATTTTCCTCGCATCATTTCGCCTACTAACACTGAATAGCTTGTGTTGAATGAGCAGTATATGCTTGCCTCTACGGAGCCTATTGAAGGGCCAGACGGAAGACAGGCGCCTCTGACGAACAGAATTGTCAAATGTCTCAGTCTGCATGGCCCTTCGTACAGAACATTTGGCGAAAATATCATCTTGCTGTTAAATCGCGAAACTGAAACATCGCTTCAGCTGCTCATCTTGAAGCTATTGTACCTTTTGTTCACAACCAAGGCAACATACGAATATTTCTACACGAACGACTTGCGAGTTCTATTAGATGTCATCATCCGAAATCTGATGGATCTCCCGGATGAGAGGATTTCTTTGAGACATACGTATCTCAGAGTTTTGTACCCACTGTTGGCGCACACGCAACTCAGCCATCCGCCTCATTACAAGCAGGACGAAATACTTAAGGTGTTGAAAATCCTTCGCGGCTCGCTCAATGCGCACTTTGCGCCAGCTGATGATACCACGGTCCGACTAGTCGACCGCGTGGCCAAAGTCAAATGGCTCGAGGCCGGCAACCTGGACGGCGCCTCCGAGGTGGCTCGCAAATTCCTGGGAATTAGCCTTTCCCCGACCCAGTACGCGAGCAGCATTAGTGTTGGCGATGTCGCTGGCGTCATGGAGAAGCCCGGCGTGCAGACGCCAAGCCGAAACGCTGGTAACGGCGCGCGAAGCCGGGATGCCCCTAGCCCTACGCAGGACGAAGTCAACACGACGGTCAGGGCCAAGAAGCCCCTACCGACTGTCCCCAAGCACCGCCACGGCGTGCCTTTCCAAAACTTCGCAGACAAGCCGGTCATGAACGGCGAGGTGAAGAAGGTGCCGCCCAAGGCACCACCGCCGCGGCGACGAGGCAAGATGAAGGTGGCTGAACCGCCACCGATAGAGACCATCAGGGAGACGCCACCAGAGCCATGATGTCTGGTAATTGCTCACGAAAGATGAAGGGAATAGTTCAAGGCGTTTTACGATTGTGGGCTGGAAAGGGGTGGATACAGATTTAGAAATTTCATCATGAGCATCACTCGTCCTGGTCAATCTGGACAGAAAAGGGCCCGAGCTATTATCTGGTGTTTTCCGATTAAGAAGCACAGAGTACCGTTTGATACCCCCAATTGTTTGGCATATTTTGATTGTACATGACGGACTATCCTTGGGCACTTGGCAGTAGAGTGCAGATTGTTAGCGACTATAAAATTAAACAGTGCTCTTTTGTTAGGGGAGCGGGCTTTTCGCTTTCTTCGCTTTGCCAACGTGGTTTGATTTAGCTGAATATATTGTCTTTGTTGACCGGGTGTGTCGAGCTTCCCCTTCGCTCTTTGAAACCACGCGGCAATGGAATGTCAGCGTAGCATGCGGGTGACAAAATAAATGGCCCATAATGAGGGTACTGAAGTTTAGCTACCTAGATTTAAACAACTCTCTATAAACTCTAGAAAATATCTACTTATTTCAAATGATGGCTAAATGAAACTTCAGTGACTAAATTATATCTTGTGTCTTTTATAATTTTTTTGAAATTCTCTACTATTTTCTAGCCTATATACCTTTCGCTAAGTATTGTAGATGCCTTGGCGAAATTGGGCCAGCTTTTTTGTTACCCACTTGCGTAGCTAGCGGGCACGCCAGTAACGTCCCTGGCGATACGACGCTGAATAGCCCGACGCCTTGGAACGAAGTGAAACAGTATCAGTATTTACAGTCATGGACAGTAGCGGTGTAGCTCGGCATCAAATTTGGCTCTGCGTAGTATTTACGAGCAGAAGAGGACAAGCGTCGAGTTTGTGCTAGGACGAACGTGGCCCCTCCTGCCAATGGCAGAAAAAACCATGCAAGTTCACGTGGCTGGCACGGATAACATCGCCAATGAGCCCGCGGTGCGCCAAGATCAGGTCGCTTGTTTGAGTCTATGGCAGTAGACTCGAATCACGAAGTAATTATGCTGTGCTGCAAAGAGCTGTACACCAGCGAGTCCTCGATTCGATTCATGCCTAAGATGTCTGCTCTGTGGTTGGGTTGACATTGCAATGGATGGTGTGGTAGTGTGGGCCTCGACTCTTGAGAGGCAAGAGAGGCTAACACCTTTCTCGGGCCGGTGTGGTTGGTGACGACGTCATCCCAAGAACCGGCGCAATTTGCCCCCGCCCCCTTGGCAGAAGCCCTGCAAGAACCGGTCGATAGCGCCATTTCTTCTTTTCTGTCAGAGCTTTGGCCACGAAAGGATGGATGAGGAGTTGCCGTAGAGGTGGGATTCGTTCCGTGGGGTCGCCGAAACTGTGATTGCCACGAGGTCATGATGGAAGAGGCGCAAGCTATAACTTTTCTTCTCTTCGGTTTTCGTTCGCCCCTCTTGTTCAAAAGCGAGGAGAGGCATCTCCGGATCATTGATGAAAAACCGGTCGATGAGTTGCCTTGTCCATAGAGTGATGTCTATTGGAATTGGGAGCTCCGATTTACTGGCGCAACCACACGTCGACAATTGGGTTGTATATGGAAAGATGGCGCAGGTTCTGTTGCAGCCTGAGTTTCACTGGGCTGTGAGGATGAACGGTTCGTGGTGCTACTACGATGGGGCCATTGATTGCCCTGCGAGCCATTTGCGATGCAGGACACGGCAATGCGCAGAGCGACATCGAATGTTGATCGACGATAGCCGTTGTTTGCGGAATTCGCGGCAATCGACCTGCGCTCTTCAGCTGTCATAATTGACGATGCTAGCAGAAAAGGCCACGTTACGGTACATGGTAAAATAACTAATAAATGCACCACCAGGACTGGATCTCTGCCGTGATTGAGTGGCAGTCCGTTTTTGGCAGCGGGTGGTATTCGGCTGGCGCAGGGGAGGGGAGCGGCGAAGAGGGCCAATACGTCATTTCGCAGTGGCCGGCTCGTGCGCATTTTGGCAGTTGGCAGACAAAGAAAGCGCAAGCCGACCGGAAAAAGCCTAACCAGCGATGGATGCGGAAGCGAGCATGATATCACGCTGGTGTCATGACGAAGGGAGATTGTGCTCGTATTGCTCGGAGGCGCGATGCGGTTTTTGATGGTCTTGTAAGAAAGAATGGCGGATTTGCATATTGGATGCTACTCATGGCGGCAACGTTCAACGTACTGGGCGGTAGGGAGCTGATCTAGGTTTGCTTTGGCATCAAAGAATGGCAGGCTGAGCAATGAGCAGTGATTAAGCAAACCTCAGCTGCCATGGTACTTGGAACCCCACGAGCGCCAAGTCGGTCAGCCATGGTACGGAGGAGAAGCTGCCTCAATAGAGGTCCCTAACCTACCTAGGTAGATAGCTGCCAGCAGATTTACAAGGTATGCCACTCCCCTCTAAAAGTGGCCAGATTTAGTGCGTCGGCGGCCTGCTTTTAGCGCTTCCAGTGCCGCCCCACCGACCCAGTTGGGCTGCTTGGCCCCAGCAAATTAAATAGTTTACTGTTGCCATGGCAGTAACAGCCAGCCTGTACATACGTACCGTGAGTAATAAGGTAGTCCTTCTAACATCTGAGCAGCGTCAGAAATTCACGGCTTCCCCGCCATCGTCAGACCTCAATCCGCCCAAACTCTCACAATGCTGGCTCTCGGATGCTCGTTGAATCTCAAGCTGCAACCAAATTCAAGCATGAGCCAAGATTCTATTTACGGCTAGTAGGTCTCTATTAGCAAAGCCACATCAGGTACCTAGATACTTGGTGACTCTACGCACCATTCTGGTTGCTTCCCCACCATCATACAGTCCCTCCAACCTCCTCCATCCCTGAGTCCCTCTCCATCGTCTTTCCCACCCAGGTTCAACTAACACGGCGGATCCGATCCTCTTGTCTAAACTTTCGCTAATCCGTACTCATAGACCTAAATCCCTTCCGCCGCGTCCCCTCCTCTCACACGCCCCAACTGCCAGGCCAAGTGGTTTTACTGCCGAAATTACTCCTGCTACCACCTAGGCACGCATGCACCCAAGAATCTGGGCCGCTCACCACTCTTTTTTTTTTTTAGCTTAATAACACCGTCGTCGCCATGAATGCGGACACTCCTCGTCAGTTACATCATCCTTTGGATCCCAGCTCGCTAGCCACCCACG